AGAACATTTCTGCTCCAAACTCACTACCCAATGAGACAAACAGATATGAACACAACTAAGTAATAATGGAAGTCAAACTGAGATAAACACAAATTTCTAAATATTGCTTGAATAAAAAATTTGGGAAACATGAGATCAGGGGCTCCTCTGCTTTGTTTCCAGATCTTAGGCTTGAAGCCATATCCAGTAGGCCTTTTAGAAAATATTCTTGGTGCCATTCTAGGAACCAAAGAAGAAATTATGCCTCTTGTTTCTTGGCACAGAAATACCAATGCGACTCACATCCTAAACTTGAAGAGACATACAAGGATTGTTACGTTTCTGAGTATCATTCAAAGGACCAAGGCAAACCCCTTTTTAAAATCCAAACCTGGCCGGGCGTGGTGGCGCACGCCTGTAATCCCAGCATTCGGGAGGCTGAGGCAGGAGGATCACTGTGAGTTCGAGAACAGCCTGGGCTACATAGTAAGTTCCAGGTCAGTCTCCACAACAACACAGTGAGACCCTGTCTAAAAAAAAAAAAAAATCCAAATCCTCCTGGACCACTAACCTGAGACCTCCCAACTGCCTCTACCCACTCCAGCTTCCGACTGGGCCTGAGTGCCTTAATAACAGAGTTGTTGGCACTGATGTCCAAAGTTTGCTCAACTTGCAAATACATATTGCCCATAGACCACTGTACCTGACAGACGCCAGAAGGGCCTGTTTTGGCCCCTAAAGGAAAGGAAGGGGAAAAACTTCAATCAGAGTTTACGTTCTCTTCCAAAGAGCCCTCCTAACTCACCCAAGAATAGGTTACGGTTTGGTAACTAGAATCAGCAAACTGTTTTTCCTTTCTTGACACACCCCCACACACCCCTGTCAAAACAAAGACTTACCTCCACCAACCGTCGTCGTCTAGAGAAGCCCGCCAGTCAGGGACGACAGACGCAGCGGTCTCCGAAAAGGCGCCGGAAGTCAAGCTGTGCGCAGGCGCACAGGGAACTCGCGCAGGTGCACTTGGCCTGGAGCGCTGTACGCAGGCGCAGAGGCCGCCTGCACGTGGTTGCGTGCTGTAGTTACGGCCTAGTTTCAGAGAACCGCTAGAGAGGCGTTAGCTTCTTTACGCTAGGAAGGACTTTGCGTTCTAACACCGTGAAGTATGTGGGGCAGAAAAAGCCTAATCTCTTTAGGGTTTTGACCAGAGAGGGAAGGAGCCTGCTCTGTTCACCTGAGCAGGATGCAGTTCTCCAGCCCAGCCTTCCTGTGCTCTGACTGTATCAGAAAATTGTGGCTCTCCCGTTCCTGCGCCCCATTGGCCATTTCTTAGGCTCTAGACATCACTTTCTGCAGTTCTGATAGTACCCCCGAGCTATGCATAAAGAGTCCATGGGCCAAAGGCCTCAAAACCAAGGCATGAGTGTGTTGCTTAGTCTGGCTGCATTTCTGAGACAGCTGAGACAGAATTAGAGTCAGGCGAGAACAGTCAGTAAAGCAGGGCAAGTGCTGCAGGAGCTTGGGAGCAAAAGTGCACAGGAGCCACAGAGATATTCTACAAGAAAGCAAAATGGCGTAAAGCCCCAAGCTCTGTACTCCAAACTTCCCACCTGTGAATTCTTGTCCCGGTGACTTTGAGCAATTTAACCCCGCATACATTTTCTTCCTCAGTAAAATAAAAGTAGCAATACAGTATTTATATAATTGCCCCCAAATTACCAAGAAAATATGAACAGTCAACACATAGTGCTCAATAAATGTTAGCTCTTATTTCATAACAGTAGTTACCATTTATTGTGTACTTCCGATAGGCCAGGTGTCATAATTCTATATTAAATTCAAAAACCATGTTCTTTTTTATTATTAATTTTACCAGTACTGTCTAGATATACATAATAATCACATTAATCAAATGGAATTTCTACCTGTTCATGATATACCTCGTTTCCTCTTTATCTCCCGTTCCCCTACCCCCCCTTCAACTCCGTCCCATTTACAAAAGATTTGTTTCCATTTTTTCTTCTTTTCTCTTTTTTTCCCTTTTCCTTCCTTTTATCCCCCTCCCCCTTCACAGTTTCCCTTTCCTTTTGGACAGTTTCTTCCTATTTCATATTATCTGTTAGACATTTTTGTCCTTATTTACCCTTTCAGATTCTCATACCAGAGAAACAATATTAGTCATACCTGTGTCCAATCGAAAACTATGTTCTACTGTTACGCTATATCTTCAGGCTATTGGAAGACTAGGACACATGAATGAGACAGGTCAAGAGGTCTCAGACAGGAAGAAAGGTTGTTAGTAAAGATCTAGGACTAATATATATTAGTAGTTTCCTTCAAAATTAAAGGTAGATTGAGATCAAATAATAGCAGATTAAGGAATAAGCTTGGAAGAAATTGAGTAATCTTTTAAATTTGAAAAGGAGACTTCAAACAACAAAATGTCTGAAAAGACTTGTTATCTGTCCTGGTTTCAGATAGACTTACCCAAAATATGAGTACAAACTTTAAGGAAACATATGTTGACCTGATATATACATACATACACAATTACGTACATACATGTGCATGAGACCTGCTCCCTTCCCCAAAGAAGAAAAATAGATTTCTCTTCATGAAAACAACAAAATGCCCTTAGGTCCATTATGGTGACTATCTTGTGCTACATCTTTAAGGAGCGTAGTCATGAGCAACATGAATCCTTTGCTAACAGTTTATAAACTTTTCTATCCTTATCTTGCTCTTGAACAGAAAAACCTCTTTAACCCCTAATCATACTGTTTAGGAAACAATCCATCTTCCTACAAAAATTCTAGCATTGCTCTATTGAATAGCCATAACTATGAGGTAAAAATTTACTCTTCTTTTGTTTTAAACAACATTGCTTTATTAATAAATCAGACACCTTCATTTGTAGAAAACATTTGTGAGTATTAGAAGTTGTCACACTTACTTGAAAGTTCTTCAAAATATTAAATTCTCAATAATGAGACAATTACAAAGAGATAGGGTTTCATCTTGTATTCTATCAGTTTTCTTAACTCTCAAAAAGAACTAAACTAATACAACTGTGTCCAAAACTCAAGTGTGCTAAAAAATCAACTGTGCTTTGGGTAACATGGAGTTAAAAATCTTTTGGAAGTTAACTTGGTATAACAGTATGAAAAGCCTCTGTTGCTCTAGTTCTAAGGAAATTCTCTCCTTTTTCTAGTAAAGCTTTTGGCAGAAGACAAACTCTGTACACAATAAACAAGGTAAGTATAGGAAATAATTACTGTAGTTCATTAACTCTCCAGAAAGTTACTCATTTGGATATGTAACAGAAACTTTATGAATGTGGAATGTGCTTCAAAATGCTGATCTGTTAAAATTCCATAAAACAAGCTTCTAAATGCAAGTCATTTGGGCCAGCTACGAGTAAATAACTGAAGCAGCATTTCCAGAGAGAGTAGGGCAAAGGACAGAGCAAACTACAAATCAGCAGGAGAGAAACAAAACACAAAGTGTGTTAATGATTCACCATAGTTACTGCTTTCAAAGTAGCAATACAACTGTCATCTCTTTACATTTATGTGTGTTTTCATCATCCCTACCCTATCTGAAATGCTTAGTATATACTGATATGGGTAGAAAATCAAAGGCAACAGGGTCTTTGTTATAAGTTAGACCAGGAATTTCAATGTGCAAACTTAGATTTTGTTATTTTACTTTCTGTGTCTCTTCATTATAATATCTTAAAGAAAAAAATATAGAAATGTGTTTATTAAATTTTAGTAAGCATTCATATTGTATGTTTCCATTATGTACTGTGCTTATATACTTCCTTCCTGAGTATTGTAGTGACTGTGAATCCTGAAAGAGCAAAATTAGAACTTCAGAGGAAACCAAAAATAACCGAGAGACACCCTGTTGTCCTGTGAAAAACACTGGACTTAATCAGAAACATGTCTCAGGCCTAGTTTCTCTTATATAGCTGTGCAAACTTAATCAGGTTACTTAACCTCTCTTTACTCTTAACCTAACCTATGTCAATACCTAACCTATCCTCTTTTACTACGTGGTTATATAAATAAACTGGGCTGATGTATGTTGAAGAACATTACAAATTGATTACCCTGAAATTGTAATAAATTACTTTTTATACCCCTATCAAACAACCTGGCATTACTAATACATAGTATTTCCAGCCCTTGAACATACAAACTTTCTGGGTGATTGAGCATGAAATCAAATCAGATTTGGCTCAGAGTCACTTTTCCAAAGGCATGTAGTCATTTTAGTATTCTAGATTATTTCTCCTAATAAGGCCTCTGCTTGAACACATTCTAATGGAGAGTCTAGTAGTGAGGCTGTGTATATATTAACTCACATGATGTGATGTCAATGTATACAGTATGTCCCAAGAGATGTTTTAGGCATTGCAGAAACTTTCATGCATTACTAACACTTGCTTTTCCTTTATTCCCCCAGAGTTTGACACAGAATTACCAAAAAGTTCATGAGAAGCAAAAGATGTTTCAAAGTAGCCTTTTTAATTACCAGTGGTCACTGATTGAATGCTTGTGTCCCTGATTGTGAAAAGCCATTTTGAAAGAAAGGAAGTTGGCTCAAGAAATCTGTAAGCATCTGCCTTAGGCTGCTTAGAGATGCCCTCAGATCATGAAAAGTGCCTGAGCTCATCTCAGAAAAGAGATGTTTGTAAATGTCAGTGAAGATAAGATAGATAGTAGATTCTTTTTATAGTTGGAGGATTATAATTATATAAAGTATTTTATTATCATAAATGATCATAAAATCTCCATTGGATGATATTCCAGCTAAAGGGAAAACAATGTCTTTAGGAGGTACTAATTTATTGTTGTACTTAGATCTACTGACCATCTGAGGGAGTTAGACGTTAACAGTTGCATCTCTAGTTGACCTTTGCATATTTTAATCCAAATATGGTAAAGGGCAGGGCTATTGAAGTCGGTGTCTGTATAATAAACAAGGCTCAGAACTTGTAATAGAAAGTTTTTAAAAGACTTCACTGAAGGGAACATGTACTTTGCACTTTGGTTAAATTCTCACTTAGATTTAAATTCCTAAATCTTTCTTAGGAAATTAAGCTTCCTTTGATCTTCTCTCTTCTGAATTTCAGAAATCAGATAAAACTCCCTGGTAAAATGACTGAAAAACCTATTAAAAAGATTGCTATCTTTGGAGGAACTCATGGGAATGAGCTAACAGGAGTATTCCTAGTTCAGCACTGGCTACAGGATGGCACTGAGATTCAGAGAACAGGACTGGAAGTAAAACCATTTATTACCAACCCAAGAGCAGTGAAGAAGTGTCTGAGATATATTGACTGTGACCTGAATCGTGTTTTTGACTTTGAAAATCTTGGGTAAGACTACTTTTTATGTTGTGTGTGTGCCTGTATGTGTGCAAAGTGGTAGATGGAAAAGAAAAAAACACTTATGTATGTTTGATAAATACCCATGTTCACACATATAATGGCTATAGGGAATAAAAGCACTTTCACTTTTAATCATGTTGAATCATAATTGTAAATTATGCAGTTAACCAAAACTAGGTATTCACATGGTCTTTTATCAACTTTTTAACATTCTACATTTCTCTTAACTGAATTGACTTTTTAAATGTATTCTATACAGACTGAGACAGTAAGAAAGGTTTTTATTTTTAAATCATATCTTTCAAGATGTGGATTTAATAAATCTGTATTAAATTAGTTTTTAATGAATGTAATTGTATACATATGTGTTAACTTTCTAGGAAATTCACTACATTTTCATTTGACTAGGCTTATGATAGTACAGTTGAGGAAAATGTAATGTTTTGATTACTGTTGGTTGAATGAAAGAATCAATAAGTGCCCATTGCCAGAAAACATCAGGCCACTCTGTGTGTGGTATAGGTGAAAATACCATTACCATAAGTGAGAATAATGAGAGCTAAAGACACTTCTCTTGAACTTTCTGACTTTGAACTACAACTGATTTATAATAGTTTGTATAATCACACTATTCTGGTTGGGCCCTTACTAATTATTTTTGCCCTTATTTATATCATAATAATGATCACTGTAAATGCCTCTAAGTTTATCTTTTACCTCTTCTTTTACCTAAAATTATTATTCAACATCTGTTTTTCTGTCTGTACTAGGTACTATGGGAATACAAAGCTGGGTACAAGATGGTTTTTACCTCCAGTGAGTTGGTAGACCACTCACAGGAACATCTAACTGTACAGCTTTATGTACTTGTTTTGATAAATACTAATTAGAGTTCAAAAATTTCTTAGGTTCAGTCTCACCACAAAACAAAAGATGAATACTAGTTTTAATATAAATATGCTCATTTAATGGGATAAAGTTTTCAGGATAATTTTAAATAGTCATACTTGTGTATCAAATAATAATTTTACTGGCATAAATTTTAATTTATGAAATACTCTATCATGATTGAGATTGTGTGTCAATACAGCTAACATTTAAGAGCCTAAAATAACTACTAACTAAAGTATATTATAAGTAGGAATATGTTGAAAGTAAGTCTTTTAATCATTCTATTAACTTCCCGAATAAACCCATGTTGTGCTTCCTACTCTGAACACTATTCAGAGGCTAGACAGTTCTCTCTCGGGGTAGCTATGAAAGTTTATATGAGATAAACTAATTAATTCATTCTATTTTTCCTCTCCTAAATTTATTTGTTTCCTGTCTTCTTGGTCTTCATGATGACACCACTACCCATCAAAGTCATCATGGAAATCATCTTAGAACCTTCCCAGCTCTTCATCCTGCCATGTCTAGTGGGTCACTAGGTCTTCCCAACATTTGCAATAACTTTGCAAACTCAGCCTTCCTCCCCCTGTTCACTCCCTTAGTTTGTTTCTTGTGTGGATACTTGTGCACTGAGTCTCATTACAGTCCTTCCCACCATAGTGTCGTATATGGAGCCGGGGATTTAGCTGAGTGGTGCTGCTGCCTGGCTAGCAAGCGCAAGGTCCTGAGTTTGATCCCTGGTACAAAAAAAAAAACAAAAACAAACAAAAAAAAGGACTTTCACTATATGATAACCATAGGGATCATACTAACATGCAAATCATATGCTTTTCTCCTATTGAAAATTCTTTTTAAATCTCCTGTCCAGAATAGATTTAAGCAATTTAGCATAGCTGATAGTGTCTTTGAGGGTCTCGCCCTCTCTATTCTTTTTACCTCATCCCCTGGGATCTTTCAGTGAGATTTGGCCTCTAGACACAGAAACTCCGTGCCCATTATTTTTCAGAACTTCAAGCCTTGATTCTGAGCAGCAGGTGGGCAGTGGTGCACTTACCTAAAGAGGGTAGAATGGTGTAGAAACAGATAGAATTAGGGTCACCCTCGTATTTCGTAAATTAACTTGTAAAGTATGTATTTACAGGTATTTGGAAGCTTTTTGTTCATAAATAATAAGTCCAAAGGTAGGCAGCCCAGGGCTGCTGCAGTGGCTTCATGACATTGTCAGTGTCGCAGGCTCCTTCTGCCTTTCCACTCTATGCTTCTTCACCTGCACCTTTTTGTCTGCCTGGTTTTTTGCTTCACAGTTACAAAATGGCTGCCCCACCTCCTTGTTTGTGTTCTGAGAAGGAAAAACTCAATTGCAAACTGTAGGCCCCTTGAAGATGCTAACAAAAATAGCCAGGGAATAGAAATAGGTTGAATTATAGGAAAATACATTTGCATGGCTTAATGAAGGAAACTAAACCATTATCAAGTATAGCAGGAAAAATGTATCCTAATCATTGCAGGAAGTGAGAAAAGGGTGGAAAGAGACTCATCTGAGAACGCAATAAAGCACCTCTAAAAAAAAAATACACATGTCTGTACCGCAACATTTTGTATTTGAAGATTTACAGACTCTCATCTGTAAACTTTGTCCCTGGGCCACTGACAGCTCCTAGCCCTCAGTTTGAAATCCTAATTCAGATGATGGGAACACCTAAGTTTGACTATTTTTATGGAGTAGAATAAGCTGCAGTGAAAGGGGAATGGCAAGGTGCATTTAATGCCCGACCCAATGGTGGTGAACCTATGACACACATGTTATTGTGTTTTTCTTTTAGGACAAAGGATGTTAAAGTGTGGGTTGTTTTTCCTTAGCTAAAACGTCATATGTCTATTTAATTGCAGTGGTGACACACTGCAATAAAAAAGTGGACTTTGGGCTGCAGTTTGACACTTGATCTCTCAAAGATTTACCATCACTGGTCTATCCCTTTAATAAGTAACAAGTATTCTGTAACTACTAAGATGTTGTTTCCAAAATTAATGGACAAATTTCATTCAAGGTTGAAGTCAAAAGATAATTTTGTCTGAAATATTCCACCTAGGACAAGTAGCATAAGACAACTTATTTTGCACGTGTGTCAGTGCAACATTCTTTATGTAGAATAGAATGGATAAAAAGCATGTTTTTTTTTCACATAAAGATTTCAGACCAGTTTTCACTTCCCTCACAATTTTTTCAAATTATTTTTGTTTGTTTGTTTGTTTGTTTGTTTTGGTTTTTTGAGACAGGGTCTCACTATGTTGTTGAGACTGACCTGGAACTCACTATGTAGCCCAGGCTGGTCTCGAACTCACAGTGATCCTCCTGCCTCAGCCTCCCGAGTGCTGGGATTACAGACATGCACCACCACTCCCTGCTAAATTTTTCATATTAAGAGTCTGGCAAAAACTAAAAGTGTAAATAAGATTCAAATGGTATGATGGATAGTGTGAAATAGGAAGAACATGGCTAAAGGGCAGATGGGAAGGGGAGGGGAAAGAAAATAAGAGAAAAGAAAAATGTGAAAAAAAGAAAAAAAATGGAAACAAAGTCTTTGTAAACAGGGAAGGGTGAAGGGGGTGAAGGGAGGGCAGGGGTATGGGGAAAAGATAAGAACAAGACATATCATGTAAAGGTACAAGATCCCAATAAATGTAACCGCTTTAAACGTACCAATAAACAAGGGTAGGGGGGTAGCAACTGGTTCTTTGTGCACTGTGTTCTTGCAATATATTTATCTTATCTTAGCCTCAGAAGTTGTTAATCTTTTTCTTTCTACTAACAACAGCAAAAAGATGTCAGAGGATTTGCCATATGAAGTGAGAAGGGCTCAAGAAATAAATCATTTATTTGGTCCAAAAAATAGTGAAGATTCCTATGACGTTATTTTTGACCTTCATAATACTACTTCTAATATGGGGTGCACTCTTATTCTTGAAGATTCCAAGAATGACTTTTTAATTCAGATGTTTCATTATATTAAGGTAATTACAATGTTATTAATTTATAAGTTAGCATAGGGTCTGTACTTTTGCATAATTATACATATGAAACAATGGGAAAAGGGTAGGGAAGGAATGTCCGAGAGAAATGCTATCCATCTATTCCAAAGGCAGGCTGAGAGGTCAAGTGGGGGACTGTACCAGAATACAGAGGCGCTCCTGACAGGCGGGAGAAAGGGAGGGGAAATAAGGGAAATGAAAAATATGATGAATAAAGACAAAACACTTGTGAATCTTTGTATCTATAAAATTGTAAAATTCACCCCAGTAGCCACCAAATCATTAGCTATTTGTTAATATAAAGTAAAATCAATATCACAAATATAAATGGTGTGGTTAAAATATCTCAATTTCAGGGTTTAGAACGCTCAAGAAATTGTCCCTTGATGTTGATGGTTAAAAAGGAAGAAGAAGAAGAAGAAAAGAAAAAAAACCTGGCTCCTTTTAGTTCTGCCCTTGTTGCTATTAGATTCAGATACCCCAACACACGTTCAATCTTTGGTGTGTACTTCAGACAGATAATCATTTTAAGGCTCAGGGATCTGTAAGATGAAAAATTCAGCAATCCCATGCCTATAGCTGGAGAATACTTGTTTAAAAAAATACAGCCAACCAAAAACATAAATAGTGAATTGTATGTTAATTCTATATAATAGATAATCTTCCTTCCTGAGAGCTAGTATAATTTAGTGGGAAAAATTTGACTCACATAGCCCAGAGAAGCTGAGTTTAAATCCTGACTTTCTCACTCACAAACCTCGGACAAAATGCTCAACTCAAAGCTTAGCTTCCTTCATTTTATAAAATTGACAAGATAATAGCACTTACTCCAAATGACAACTAAAAATCTTCAATGAGATTAAGTCATTAAAAGGTTTAACCTAATATGTAGCCTACGGTAATACCTAGATCACTGCTATTTTCAATAGAGTTTTTAACAATAACTAGAGAGTGGTTCTAAAGGAAGATCACAGTGCAACTATTCTTTGCTGATCTCTGAAGGTTGAATGTTTTGGTTGACAAATAGCAGCTTGGCTGATAGTTGCCATAACCAGGAATCCTTACTCAAATTCTCACTCACATAAACAGAAGGAGGGGAAATCACCCAGCATTTTAGAGAGCCGGACCACAGGAGTACAAATAGAATTCCTTAAGAGACCAATACTAAGCTAAATAATAAGTATAATCAATGATAAAAAGAAAAATAACCAAATCCATTCAGGAGAACAATGTCTTTCACATTCTTTGGTCATGGTTCTGGAACTTTATTGAATGTACATTTTGCCCAGAGAGCTACACCTAATTCAACTTTAAATATGATTCATTTGTGTGTTTTCAAAGCTCTAAAGCATCAACTTTTATAGCGTGTTTCATAAAGCTGTCTGACTAATCTTAGCCAATGGAGTATAGCATGTTGAAGGCATTGCTAACTGTGTAGTAGAAAAGAGAACAAAGCATCATCTTTACATAATAAAAAAGATGTTTTAAATTCTTTTCAGACTTCTTTGGCTCCATTACCCTGCTATGTTTACCTTATTGAACATCCTTCCCTCAAATATGCAACCACTCGTTCTATCGCCAAATATCCTGTGGGTAAGTTGTATTTGCTATTGTTGTAAGTGAACAAAATAGATCACAGCTGAAACTGAGAAAATTATTTTTATAGAACATTTTTAGCTATCTTGCTCATGATTAAAGTTCGTAACTGTCAGGTAAGAAGAAAATTCGCCTCAGGCAAGGTTCCAATGCTAATTTCATCAATTTCCCTGAGCAGCTGCATAGTTTGGTTTTGTTTTATTTCCCTTGCTGTTATATTTGGCCCTTCACATTAGTCTTCTCATTCCCAAGACCCAAGTGAAACATCACCTTTCATGGAACCCCACTCTACAGAATGAATTACTCCAAAAATGTATGCATTCAACAAATATTCACTGTGTGTCCACTATAACACTCTGCTAGGTGCTGGGGTATAATAATGGATACAGCACACAAAGAGTTTAATACCTAATGAGAAGATAGACAAGTAACCAGGTAATTACTGCACAGAGTGATGAGTGGCCATAGTTGGTGTAATTCCATTCTCCTTCCTAAGAAACCTAATGTCATAATTAATTATTTGCAGACTACACTACAATTAAAATCGTTATTAAAGCTTAAAATCTTTTTTGTTAGATCTCAGATGTTAGAAGTCATGTGGTCTAACCAATAATAATTTAAGAGCAAGTTAGCAAATAAAATTAAATTTTTAAAAAGTTAGCCCAATTATCCACATATTGATACCTTTGACGCATAGTTAGGAGAATTAATCAATTATAATTGGAGAAAGCTATATATTCAATTATAGGTACATAACTGTAAGAAGCTAAAGCCTTAATAATATGGGATAGGGCTAAAGGGTATAGCTCAATGATAGAGCACTTACCTAGCCTGAGTGAGGTCCTTGGTTCAATCCTCAGCACCATCAGATAACAACAACAACAGCAACAATAATAATAATAATAATAATAATAATAAGATGATGATGATGATGATGATGAGATAGAGATCATGGTTCTCTTTTACACCAAATGAAAGACTGCTAGCCGGGTGTGGTGGTGCACATCTGTAATCCCAGCACTCAGGAGGCTGAGACAGGAGGATTGCTGTGAGTTTGAGACCATCCTGGGCTACATAATGAATTCCAGATGAGTCTCAACTACATAGTGACTCCCTGTCTCAAAAAAAACAAAACAAAAAAAAAAGTCTTCTAAAATATCAATCTTTATCTGTGATATTTATGGGCAATGATGTTCTTAGCTAGACCAACTAGCTGGTTCACATGTTTAGCCCTTAAATATAGAGTTAAATCTTTAAAGAACATTTCAATATGAGGAAGTATTAAGTTTTATAAATAATTAGATATATTAGTATAGTTTCCTTCCAACTTTGATATGCTATTTGGAATACATTTATTTCATAAATCATTTAAAAACACTGAAAACTGAGATACATTCTTTTTGAATTGGCATTTTATGATTCACTAGACTAGTGCTCCTAAAATTGGCTTTAACTACTAACTAACCACCTACAAGGACCACCTTGTGCTCTATTGTTAATGTGTCTTGAGTGTGACAGAATCAATCTTGGTGATCTTTATTCCAGAAGGGTGCAGTTTGCAGCCAGCCTCATGACCACTGCCATCTCCCTCCTCTTCTCTTTTTCATGCACACCCCAACTCCCTCAAAGAAAAGAATATACAGAATGCTTTTGGCTTCAGTCAACCCCCAAAAGCTTAAGCAACATCATGAGGGACCAGATTTGTTTTTTTTTTTTTTTGTACCGGGGATTGAACTGAGGTCCTTACGCTTGCAAGGCAGGCCACCGAACCGCTGAGCTAAATCCCTGGCCCTATAAGTTCTTTTCATCTTTCTAGCTTAGCGTCTTTAACATGTCATCAGCTTCCTGAGTGCCAAAAGTGTCCACTATAGCTCCAAATCTCATATGTCAATGTGAAAATATTTAAAGGAAGAAAAAGAACTCTGAAGAACTCTCCTGCAAGTCTTTCACTCTGACCCCTTGTTCGGAACTGGAGCCACAGAGCCGTTCTTCAGTCGGTCACTGAGGTTTTAAAACTATAATATGTGACTTAAACTATCTTGTCTTTACTCTTGAACTGAAGAAAAGTTCATTTACCTTGAATATTGGTTACCCAACCAAACTTCCGACTCTATTAAAAGGGTAGAAAGTGGAGTGAATTTGTGGTAAGCAATCAATGTATCCTACAATACATACAGCAACACATCCATGACCACAGTGTTTTGCACATTTGTACGAATCATTTATGCCCAGGTGTGTACCTTACCCATACTTGTGATACTACATATATAAATAAATGTTTATATATATGCACAAGAAAGCTAAGCACAACAAATGTTTAAAAAAGAAAAAGACATATAAATGTTCTACTTTATATTGTACCCCAATTTTTTTTTTTTGAGGCAGGGTCTCACTATGTAGTTGAGACTGACCCGGAACTCCTTATGTAGCTCAGGCTGGTCTCGAACTCACAGAGATCCTCCTGCCTCAGCCTCCCAAGTGCTGGGATTACAGGCATGTGCCACCATGCCCAGCTTTTACCCAAATTATAACTCAGATATTTTCCTTGATGTTAAATGATCTTGATATATTAAAATGCTTAATTTCACAACATTTTCAAATATTTATACAAATATGACTATCTCCCTCTCTGCACCTAGGTATAGAAGTTGGCCCTCAGCCTCAAGGTGTTCTGAGAGCTGATATTTTGGATCAAATGAGAAAAATAATTAAACATGCTCTTGATTTTATACATCATTTCAATCAAGGTAAGTAGTGGATGAGAGTTGTGTCCTTAATTATGAATGTGTATATGTATGTATGTGAAAACATATTCACCATTTAACTGTGTGTGTATATAAAACAAGCACTAAACACTGAAATAGCTACTGGAATCCTGGTCAGATTTGTCATGCTCACAATCTTAGATGCTTATTAAAACTTTTATTCACTCCAGGAATTCAATATCAAGAACTCAATATCAAGAATAGATACATTTAAGAAACACAGCTGCCAAATAAAGCCCCCAAATCAAATGTTTACTTTCCTATTAATTCCATCCTAAAGAGTAAAGGAAGACTAGAAAATACAAATGTCCAATAATCCTCAGAAAACCGTTCAGTATCACCAGTAATCAGAGAAATGCAAATTAAAGTGAGAAGCCATTTTCCTCCATTATTTTGAGGAAATATTAAAATTTAATAATATTAAATTTTAGTAAAAGTATAGGAAAACAGGATAATCTTATTTCCTGCTGTTGAGCAAATAAATTTATAAAGACACTTTCAAGGATAATTTTATGCTATCTACTTCTCAAAATACACAAATCTTACAACCTGGCAATTCCACATCTCAGAGAAACTTATGCCCACCCAATATGTTGTATATAAGGGTGGTCATTACAGCTTTGTTTGTGACATCAAAAAAAACTGGGCCTGGGATTTAGCTCAGTGGTTCTGGCACCTGCCTCAAGCACAAGGGCCCAAGTTTGATCCCTGGTACAAAAAAAAAAAAAAAAGGTAAACACTCAAATGTCCAGTTGTAAACAATTAAATAAACTAACAAATAAAACAATTTCAAAAATATACTGTTAACTAAAAGAAAACAAATTGCGTATGAAAACAGAAAATAATAAGTGCTTGCCGGGCATGGTGGCGCACGCCTAGAATCCCAGCACTCGGGAGGCTGAGGCAGGAGAATCGCTGTGAGTTCGAGACCAGCCTGGGCTACATAGTGAGTTCCAGGTCAGTCTCAACTTCAGAGTGACAGACTGTCTCAAAAAAAAAGAAAAAAAATAATAATAAGTGCCTGCTTCAGCAGCACATATACTAAAGTAATAACAATCACTTACTAGAATACTTAAAACACATCAAACCGATAACAGTGACTACAGAGGAGGATAAGAATAAACCAAGCTAGTTTTGTTTTCATCATATTCAACAAGAATAATATATTCATGTACTATTTATGTAATTAACAATTAATTAAACAGAAACTGATGAAAAGGAGTTTGACACTTCATATACAACCGCTCATGAAAGTGAGTAAATCTAAAATGTGCTAAAATTAAATTCTATTAATTATAAGAAAAATGTATTTTAAATTTGAAAAAACTGCTTTAAATGAAATCCAAGAGACATCCTATGTAAATAATGATTCCCATAGGCAATTTAGAAATTGTTGAGAAACAAGCAACACGGCTGTGCGCAGTTCAGGGCTGGTGGAGGGAATACTTCCTTAGGCTCAGGTTGTGCTCACTTCCGCAATCACAGGAACTTCTTTTGTGCTTGGGAATCATTAAACTGGAAAATCAGCTGTTCACTACCTTAGTCTGAAGACAGGTTCTACACTGTCTAAAAGAACCAGCGTTCGGAAGGTCAGAAAATATCCACAAGAAATCCTTGAACTACAATATGTTAAGAAATGATACACTCAGGTTATCAAGTCACAAACCCATGGAAACATAATTTACAAATCATGGTCCATGGATTCTTCCTACAGGGCAGAGAGTGGTATTTCCAGTACAGCTCTTTTTTATTATTCCTCGAGGGTTTGTTTTTTTTTTTTTTACTTGTCCATGTTGCGGTTTGTATAGTTTATAATCATCTTGGGGAATGATTACATGTACCTATTACAACATGTTTGTTTCTTTCTCTTTTTATCCCCTTCCTCTGCCCCTGGCCCCAGTTTCCCCATCCTATTTGTCATTCTTGTTGATATTGTCTTAGCTCATGTTACGGCATATAATATTTACCTTCACCGGGGTTGGGAGGGTCCTGTTCATGGCATATCTTTATTCTATTTATTTCTCCTCCCCTTTCTCTTCCTCCCTTGCCCTTGTTCCCTTGGACCCCTTCCCTACTGCAAGAGATCCATCCTTTGTCCTTTATCATCTTCTTAGATTGCACTTTGCCTCACTCAAATGAGAGACACCATATGGTATCTGAGCTTGTGTGTCTGGTTTATTTCACTCAACATTGTATTTTCCAGCTGCATCCATCTTCCTACAAATGTCACAATTTGTCATTCTTTATAGCCAAGTAGAATTCTATTATACAGAGACACCACAGTTTCTTGTTTTATCCATATGAGAATATATTTATATTATTTGTATACACATATATATGCATATTCTTTTTTCATGGAACATCCCATCCCTTTTCTCCCATTCCACCCCTCACAACCCCCTTTCCCTCCTCATGTACAAAAGCTTTGTTTCCTTTTTCTCCTTCTATTGTCACCTTTTCTGTTCTTGTCCCTTCCTTCCTTTCTCCCTCTCCCATGGTCCCCTTCCCATTTGAACATTTTCTATATTTCAATCCTTATTTCCACTTTTGGTTTCTCACACCAGAGAAACAATGTGGTGATTTATTTCACTTAAGAGTAGATACCACATTTTTTATTCCGTTATCTGTTGATGAGTACACCAGCTGCATCCAGGAGCTTGCTATTACAAGTTGTGCCGCTACAAACATTGGCATGTGTGTATGGCTGTAGTATGATGACTTAAGCTCTTGGGAGAAGAAAGATACCTACCAGAGGAATAGCTGGGTCATATGGAATTTCTAATTTCAGTTATTTGAGAAATCTCCATAGTGATTTCTATAATGGTTGTCCAGTACACCTCATTTTCCATCTTTTCATCAGTCAGGGAGTTCCTCCCCATCCTTTGTATCTGGCTTGGCCACATGACTTATTTTTGTGCCACAGAAGTGGTTTGAAAAAAAACTTGCACACTAAAACTTGCTTTTCTGTAGCTCTTGGAAACCGTGTATGGTCATTATGAGAATGAATCCACATTAATCTGCTAGATAACGAAAGGCCATAAGACAGAAAGCTCAGACGCCTCTGCCAATAGCCATGCAGCTCCAGCTGTCAAATGGCAGACGTGAGAGTGAGGCTGTCTCAGATCACCCAGCCTCCAGCGCTGATCTGACAGCTCACTCCAAACACAAGCTCAAAACATCAAGAAATCAACAAAGCCAGTCCAGACCAGAAAAACTGCCAAACAATGCAGAATCATGAGCTAAATTAAGGCTGGTTGTTTTAAGCTGCTAAGTTCTAGGGTAATGTGCTGTGCGGCAAAAACTGGCTGATTGTATGTGATCACCTAGTCTACCTCATCTTTTCTCTGCTCTAAGGACAAAGGAAGACTTCTGTTGCACACAGTGGCCCTCCATTGAACCTAGATTTATCCTTTTTGCTCAGAGATGGTCTGCTACATATGTAAACTACTCCTTTCCCATTTCTCTGGGTACTGAGTCATTTGATGTAGCCATGTCTTTGGAAGTTGGACTCCACTGCTAGCAGACAGCCCACGTCATAAAGACTTGCTACTCAGGAGCTGTTCAAGTGTTTAATGCACATAGTTAAAAGAAAGGAACACTAGACTGAAGTCACCTAATTTGCAGGAAGTCCTTCTGAAAACATACAGTCCTGAAAGTCAGAATTGGAAGCTAAGCTAATCCAGAACCTGCACTTGACAGAAATGAAAGCAAGCCTCTAGAAGTTAAGTGTCTTGCTCAAAATGACATAACTAGGGAAAAATAAAAAGATGGCACACTAGAACAGATCCCAGGAGCCCTGACTCACAATCGTAAGCTCTTCTTCTCTCACGCTGACCTTTTAAAGCTCTGTTTTCCATCTCTGTCTCTCCATCAGTGTATTTTTTGGAAAGTGGGGTATTAGGAATAATTCAAGAACATCTTTTTGCTTTCTCTTGTTTATGAACATCCTTAACTAAACTTGATTTGTCCTCCTTATAATTGTCTTTGTTTCTGTTGGGTTTTTTCCTTCTTTAAAGTATCAACTTTTTTTAGTTGCTTTTGCAATATATCTTTTCATCATAGGAAAAGAATTTCCTCCCTGTGCTATTGAGGCCTATAAAATTATGGAGAAAGTTGACTTTCCCAGGAATGGAAATGGAGAAATTACTGCTATTATCCATCCTAACCTGCAGGTAACTTCTGCTGTTTCTTTAAAATACTGAAAATCATAACATTTTACCTTTTATTTGAGTTTGATAGTTCATATAGCACTTTCCACACATTAGGTAATTTTGATGTTCCCCAAAACACTGCAGTGTAGGGAAGTATATTAATCAGCTTTCCATTACTATAACAAAATACCTAAGACAATTAACTTACAAAGAGAAAAGGGTTATTTAGCTCAGTTATGGAGATTCCAGCCCAAGATCAGGTAGTTGAATTGCTTTGGGCTCTGGTGTGGACTCTGGATGGCAGTGGCAGGGAGTTTGTGGTGGAGTGACTGCTCACAATAGCATCCAGAAAGCAGAGAGCAACTTCAGAGACTGGAGTCCCAAATTATCTTCAAAGGCAAGTTCTCAGTGACACAAGGACCTCTCACAAGGTCCCACCTCCTAAAGATCCATAGCACCTTCTACTAGCACCACAGGGAGACCAAACCTTCAGCACATGGACCTTTGAAGGACATTAGCCATGTTCAAACTACCACAGAAATACGTTCAGATCTTTGCTCAATAATCTGTGATGGCTCTGGAGATACAGCAGTGACCATGGTTCATAGTTTCACGGAATATGCAGTCTAGATAAGGGGTGGCAAACCTATGGCATGCAGGTCACAGCAGACACACATTTGCCTTGTGAGCCAAATCACCCCACTGACTGAGCATCGGATAACAGTTGTTTTTTTTAAACTAAAAACCTCAGTATTCAGGTACAATTGCAGTGTTGGCACTTTGCAATAAATTAGTGGATTTGGGGTTGCGGTTTGGGCACTTGATCTCAAAAAGGTTTGCCCTTTTTGATATACTAAAGGTTTTCCTAATCTCCATATACTAAAGTCTAACCAACGGTCTAGAAATGAAGAGAGCCAGATGGTGTGAAGGAATAATGAGGTGGCAGAAAGTTAGTCATACAAGGAGTTTCCAAAAAGTGAAAGTCCTACCCAAGTGCAGTGAGTGACGATTATTATATCTGTTTTAATATAAGAAAGTGGAGGCTCAGAAATTTACAGCTGTCCTGTATCCACACAGGTATCGATGACAAATCCAGAACTGGTATTCTTTGCAACAGGCACATTGCTGCCACCTCCCTGTGATCAATACCTTGACTTGGAATGCCTCACCTCTAGTTCCATACACACACGTACTTCTATAGCTGCCCTGTGGAGAGCCCACCCCACCTCCCTGCACCTCCCTCTTGCTTTCACCTTCCCATGCCCCACCTCTGTCCCGTGTTCCCATCAAGGAGCAATGGTGCCTGGTGTGGCTTGGAGCTGGGCATTGAGGGAGGAGCTGTATTTCTGAATCCTCAGATTCCTAACTGGCAAGCTGAGTTTAGGGCTGGGACTAAAGCTGTGCTAACCAAGGGACAAGCAGAATCTGGAGGGGAAGACTGTAAGGAAGCTGCAGGTGTGTGAGCATTAGAGTTGATCACAATCATTCATCTCTAAATTCATCTGCTGCCGATGCGCCAGCCTCTCCAGAGCTCCCACCCTAAAGAGGCAACTTACAGGTTACAAGTGGCCTGGGTGTGTGAAAATAATATTAATTACCAGGAGTAGAGCATTTGACAGCAGGTCAAGAGGTCCTCAGTTCAAATATGGGTGCCCCCTACTCACTCCTCATTTTGACCTTTTAAAAAGTCTCTGAATTTTAACTTCTTTAGTAAACAGCAGGGTTAGCATTTCTTTCTGGAGCCAGAAAATAATAAGACTTTTTTTATGGTGACTCTTCACCCCGGTCTTAATTAGAATCACCTGAAGAGTCTATAGAACGGCTATTTCTCAGGTCCTACCTCAGGACAAACAAATCAGAACATGTGGGATGAGTCCCAGGCCCAGTAAAACCTCTCAGATGCTTCTAGACTGCAGCTGAGACTGAGAGCCAGCTGTGCAGAGCACTCCTCTTACAGTCCTGACCTTCTGCACCATCAGCACCACCTCTGGCTTTGCCAGGAACTATCCATGCCAGGCGTTCCAACCTGCCACTGTGTATTCTGGAACCATTTAGGGGTGGGACCATGGAATTGGGATTTTTTTAAAATACTCCCCAGGTAGTTTTCATATGTCCTGAGTTTGAGAAGCACCGATTTGGTAAGATTGTTTTGGGTTCCAGGAATTCAGGGAGACAGTCCCCTAAGTAATTCCATTGAGCATCCCTGATGAAGAACTGCCGCCCTTAGAACAAAAATCTAGACTGAGGACCAGGTCGCTGCCAATGACTCTGGCTTCAGGGCCACTGTCCTCTCTGCTCAGCCCTGCACTGCACTAACAAGGCTACTCTTGCTGTTTCTCAAACTAAGTTTGTTCCAGCCCCAGGAAATTTGCCTTTGTTTTCACTGTGGCTGATTCTCACCGCTCTAGTTGCAGCTTGAGTGCCATCATCTCAGGGACCGCTATTTCTGATCACTCCATCTAACTGGAGCCCTTTGTTACCCTCTGCTATATTTTTCTGATATTTCTTTGATAACACTTCATACAGTTTAAAATGGGCTTGATCCCTGGTACCAAAATAAAATGGGCTGATATATATTTATATATAATTTATTTAATCAGTATATGTAACTTTCTTAACTAGTGTTGGAGCTCCATGAGGGACTTTGCCTGTCTTGAAACTCAGGGCTCAGAACAGGCTTACTAGTTATTCAAATATACTGAGATAACCAACCAGTCAGTCTCTCCTGTAGAATATGAGCCACTCCTTATTGTCTGCCACATCCAAACTATCTTTTCTTAACTTCCAGCACCTACTACCCACATTGCCTTTTACTAATCTCATTCATCTCACATCTCAGCCTCCCCAAGATTATTTTTATACTCCTAAACTTTTAAAAATCCCAAGTGTTTTAGCCTTAAATGTCTTGTAGTTGACATCTCTGCCATATACAGTGCTCTCTTCCTTTCTCTCCTCTAGTCTTTATCTTCCCCTTAAAGTGCAACCTAAGGCCCCTTTTGGTTTCCACCTGGATGCCGTTAAGCCACAAAGCCAGCTTTGCTCCACTAGCCTGTATTTGTGGGCAGGGTGCTTTATTAAGTTGAGAGTTTGAGTGACTATTAGAGTCATTAAACAGAGATTTGAAGTGGATCAGTGGTTTTCAGCCATGATTGCTCAAGTCAATTGAGATCTGATTATCTCAGAGTGGACTCCTGGAAAAAAAAAAAAAAAAAAAAGGCTTTCTAAGTAATGTGTGGTCAGGGTTGAAAGCCCCACACTAGGAAACTTACCACATCTCTTCTCTGAGGTCTGAGAATGTGTAGGGAATGGACATCTTTGTTTTTAGAATCTCATTGCTCCTTTTTCCCTTTGCCTTTTCCAGCCATAAATCTCTTAACGCTCAAGAGCCTTTCCTTCCTCCTTCACTTGTTATTATTGATTAATCCAATCAAGGTTTAAATATTGAGGTTCTGAAGAGAGAGAACGAAGGCAGGAACCTCCTAGGGAAACAGGTTGCAAATTTGGCTCTAACTTAGTTGATGTTGAGCACATCAAACTCCTGGATGACACTGATGCTGCTGGGAAATGTTACAAATTCAGGACTTCAGGCTGGCTCCCCATGACCTATAGAAAGAGAATCTTCATTTTAACAAAATCCCCAAACGATTTGCAAGTACACTCATGTTGGAGAAGAACTGTTCTAGGGATTCCGCAGTGTGACAACACTGGTGTTCAAAGGCTCAAAGGACCACATTGCTGGTGTGAAAACTTTCAGATGACACAGTTGTTATCTTAATGTGGGGCACGTCTGCCCCAGTTTAGACTTTTCCCAAGTCCACCCACCTTCTCTCACCAGTTCCCAATGGAAGAGGATTTCCTTGTATGCAAGTACCTGTGACTCATTTTACATCCCAGCAGCAGTCACAGAAGGCTCTGAATAGATATTTCCTAAATTTTACTGAACAAAATTTCACTTCCACCGACAGGGAGTAAACTATGTACTTAGGTCAATATGAACTTAGTTTTGCCTTTTAATATTATAAATCTCTGGCAGCATTCAAGGCAAACTCAATATTGAAACAAACTTTAATTATATATGTTGACCATGAAAATTAAAAGTGAAATTCTTAATAGTGCTGCCAATTACACAGTCTCAGTGCGGTCCGGTCACTCACTTGTCTCTCATTGCATCCTTCAACTATCTCTTTTAATGCTATTTGTCAGTTGCTTAGGGTCTGATGTAAAATTATTTAAAATAGGAGGAAAACTAAATGTAATTTTTTTTTTAAATTTTAACTGTCTCCTTGAAAGGATCAAGACTGGAAACCATTACACCCTGGGGACCCTGTGTTTGTGACTCTTGACGGAAAGACTATTCTGTTCAGTGGAGACTGCACGGTGTACCCAGTATTTGTGAATGAGGCCGCATATTATGAAAAGAAAGAAGCCTTTGCAAAGACAACTAAACTCACACTCAATGCAGAAAGCATTCACTCCTCTTTCCACTAGAAATCATTGCTAGTGCAACAGTTATTATAGGGTATCTTGAAAAACTCTACAAGTCTTTGCCTCCACCCCATGCCCGACACCGTAGGCATCCAGACCAGTTTCTTTAGAAAGAGAACAAATGAATGAATCTCTTCTAAAAAGTATTATATTTTATGTATGCAGTTTATTCAGAAAAGTGTGCTTCTTGTCTCTATATAGCCTTTAAACATGATACTTTGATAATTTAACATTCTAAACAGACTTCACACTCAACATATAAAATTAAAATATATATTACAGGCAAAGTCATTAACTTGACATAAAATGAAATGTATGTTTTCAAGTAATATTTAAGTGCTACTAGAAACTAATTGTACAGAACTTTTTAATTTTTAAAAAAATTTCATGCTTGAATTAACAACAATATATTGAGTATCCAGTCTATCAACTTTCTCAATAGTTGTGATATCTGTAGCAGATTCTTTTTTCAGCTTTAATTGAGTTTATTGGTACATATTAGGGATATAGTACAGTTACATTCATTGTTGGGATCTTGTACCTCTACATGACAGGTCTTGGTTCTCATTTTTTCCCCGTCCCTGCCCTCCCTTCACCCCCTCCTCCCCTCCCCATCTACAAACACTTTATTTCCATCTTTTCATTCTCTCACATTTTTTTTCTTTTCCCTTATTACCCTTCCCCTACCCATCCCACCTTCCCTACACCTTTAGCTCCTTTCTTCCCATTTCTCAATGTCAGTAATCTTATTATGATCTTATGTATTATTGCAGAGTGCAGGAGATTTTTAAGTTATTTTGCAGGCAAAAATATGAAAGAGAAATGAGGACTAATTGTAAAGTTGGCATCTGAATATGTCCAGAAACTCTGAGAACACCTCTTGAGAAGCTATTCTTCTCAGCATAGACAATTTGGAAGAAGCAAACTCTTTGCAACTGTCAATTCTTATTTGGAAAGAACACTCTTGCCTCCTGTGATTCTTTCCTTAAAGGACCTATGGCAGAACAATTCGTGTCTCCTTCTCCAGCCTCGCCAGGGTGACTCCCTCCCCTCTCGGGCCACAGCAGGTGAATAAGAAGCATTTTTATCCCACGATCTGGACACCAAGAAACCCGTGTTTATGGCTTCAAATGTATTTATCAAAAACACTAATAACACCTGACACACACATGCAAACCTTCTCATTCTTCCGGAGCAAACTCCACTAAACCAACTTCACTCTATTTTTAATGTTTTATACGACACAATTAAATATTTTCAAATTTTTCAGCATTTTGGGTGTACTCTATATTTATGGACATAAACTCTCTTCTTTCTGAATGTTGTAGTAAAAATCTGATTTGTCGTTCCTCTTTCATACGTACGTTTTACCACACTCCCTTCTGCCACTGTGAAGATTCCATTTTATTTTATTGCAGAGTCCAGCTCCCCTATATCAGTTTTTCTCAAATGTAAGTTTTGGCAAGAAAGCTTTATTCTTCCCCCAAATTTTAATTTTTCGAAAAATGTATAATGTGAATTCAGGTCACAGTGGTTTCAATTTTTGTACTATTTCTATCAAGTCTAATTTTCCCCCAGCTTAATCTTTATAAAATCTTTAATGTTTCTAATTTGATGTGAGTTTTAAGGACCTGTAACACATTGCTGTGTGGTTTTAGCCACTTTGTTTTGTTTTGATTGTTTCTAATAGTCTCTCATTTATAAAATGAGGGTGATCAGAATAATAATGCTTCCCTTGTGGAGTCATCTGAGGAGTAAGCAGGCTATTCATGTAAGCACTTGGCTCAGTGTCTCATGCAGAGTTTGTATTTATACATTTTTCAAGTTCAAACCTAGCACAAAAGGCCCTTTATGGTCCATCCCTTCCTCCCCCACCATCTCTCCAGGCATATTTCCCTTCCCTTTCTCTCTGTTTCCCTGCCCCTCCCACTGTCTTATTCTTATATGCCTCCATCCAGACTGAGTCTTCACCCTAGAATTTGCTCACCTTCATTCATCTCCACCACCCGAGGCCTTCCTCTAGCTAATTCCTGTGTTTCCTTCAAAATGTCAGGCAACGCTGCTGTGCTTCTTGATCTCCCTTTACCTGACTTGATTGCCCCTTTGCCCTCCTTGGCTTCTATCCCACCTGGGGCACACTAACAGCATCTTTTTTGGTGTCTGCAATTTAATAAGAGCCTGATAAAGTTTAGTGGAATGAGTGAGTGTGCTCAGGCATCCTTTCTCTATGGAAATGTCTTCACATTCCACCAATGTCCTTCTTTCTCTGTCAATGAATGTTGTTCTCTCTGTCACTCCCAAGTGAATTCACTCCATTCTACACTTTTCAAACTATCGCTATATCAAAGGAGAATAGGCAAGACACATTTTTGTAGCACTGCACTGGGTCCCTTCCTTTTTTCAGAACTTAGCTGTTGTTGTCCAAGAGGTACCCTGGTGCAGTGAGAAAAGTGGCATCTCTTGATACCAGTCTAACTAAATTTCAGAGAACCTAGATCCTCAGGCCAGAAAAAAGCATTATGACTTTTGCCTATCATTTGTCTCCAAGACTCAGTTTTCCCACCTGGGATACAGTACCAAACCTACAAAATAGTGTAATATGAATGAGTTTCATAGTGCAGAAGATAATTTTTCACATTATCAAGAGCCATAAAATTATTCAAGCCCAATGACGTAAGGGTCCCATTACCAGAAATATATTTGACAGGAGGAGTTTACATTCTTTTTCTAACCAGCCTACCCAGAATATTCTTGTGGATGACACATTCCCAGGTTATGAGCCTATTCAAGATAAGGATATGATTGATGTAAAATTTATTTGCTACTCAACAAGCCACATTCCAGTGAAGGCAGGCATTATGAGACTCAGTTGAATTAGATAAACAAGTCAGTATTTAGCTTATTAACAAATGCGTTATAAATTCTACAGCCCATCGTGACAAAGCAGTATCTTAGGATTCCCGGTTAGAACTGCTACCCTTATGAAATAGTTCAATCAAATGAAAATATACACAGGAGTTGGGCTGGTAAGTGAAAAGGATACTAACAATATCACCCTTTTCGTATTCATTCCTTCATTGCTTCTTCATGAAAATCCTGTGAGTTAGGCTGCAGGGATTTATATTTTCTGGTCTCCAGGTGGAGCCATGGGTTTATATTCATGCAAAATAAATTGAGAGCCAGCAGGGCCTGGATAGAGCACTGCCTGGGTGTCACCCTGAACCACTAGTATTATCTGGCTCCAAGTCCTTTACTTAAGCAGCTTCCAAAGCTGCTGAGTGGTTTAAATAGTGTGCCATACTTTGAGAGGTAGACACTGCATGAAGGTGGCATGCTGCTTGCTCCGTCCCTATGCCAGGACTAGTAAGAATACTTTAGGTCCAAAAACCATCTTTCCTTTTATCCATTCCTATTAAGCAACACTCGAGGATTTCCAGTCGGTCTTCATTTTCACATGCACAAGACAAGAGTAAAACACAGCCATAACAAGGCAAAATAAATATTTATTAGAAATCAAAATAATGAGACTAAAACAGTCTTACTCCTTTTATGATTTCTTTCTTGAGCATAGAGTCTCACACACACAACACTAACCACACACCTATAAATGAGAATTTTAAAAATCAGGAACATTCAATGAGTGGGATGATGATTCTGTGTTTGGAACCAAGATCACAGTTAAATCAATGTAGAAGTCAAGTATG